GGGGCGCAGGGGAACATGAGGAGCGCAGAGAGAGAATCGACCATCATCCATTCTAAATCTGATCTTGTGCATGACAAATATTGATATGAAAGTAGTCTTTTCAGAAAAATAATACTCACAACATCAAACTTCTTTTCCTGCGTCAGCATATACAAGCGGCAATCACCCTCCAAAACCTCCACATTTGAAGCTGGTGCCCCATTGAACTGAACGTTACGCTGGCATGCCTCTACAGCCACTGCAAGAAGTCAAAGCACAACAGCAAAACATACCATCGTACTAAATTCTTCGGAAACATAGAACACAAGTTAACAATAGAAGCTGGCGCCTAAGGGCATCGCTCAGACAAGGACTTTTGGGACTGAAACTGGGAATGTTTGCAGTCTGGTACCTCCAATGAAGCCCTAGTGTGAGTATACCCTAATTAACCATTGCTGGACACTCCAGCACTGTCAGGCCTGCACAGACAACAGTCCGATGCACAACGCGAAACGTGGGTAAAGAAGCATGGGTTCAATCAACCTGATGTCACATCACACAAAACAAGGCACACTAATGCAATCAGCCTCAGATCGTCCATACTACCATCTTACCCCGAACACAACGCACCCTGATAACGAATGTCTACAAGGCTATCCTTCCGGTTCGGTGCAGCCGTACATAACGATGGCGCATTGTGTACGGGGGCATCAGCACCTTGCTGACAAAAGCAAAACACTTCCCATCTTGCTTAACTCTGATGAAAGGTCAGAATGAATTGGATAGCTGCGGCGAACCGTTCTTGCTGAAGCGAAAGCCCTAGGCCCATACTGCCCTGCAACCACTGGCCTACCGACTTTAGACTACAGTAATACACTCCTGGCATCAAAATGCAATGAATTGCAGGTTCCAACGGTAGGTAGTTTTTTTCTAACTTTTCGTAGTTTTGAGTACTCCGGGGTTTGATGCCTGGACCTATGCAAACTGGGATTGTTCTAACTTTGTGTGGAATTTTGAGCTCTCCAGGGCTTGATCCCTGGACCTGTTCCTTGCAAGGACTTTTCCTTTGTTGATTGTCGACTTGTAGGCGGTGGTTGATTGTAGACTTGTAGGCCGTGGTTGTCCTTTTCCCTTCTCTGCCTGTTTAGGTCCAGATACAGGGAGTCTGTAGGCTGCTTGCTTGGGTCTATCCTGGGCTATAGAGTCGGTAGGCTGTAGAGCCGGTAGGCTGTAGAGTCTAGGTCATGGGAAACAAAAGTGTTGAGGGAATTTTGGAACGGGTTCTTTTTCCATTCTTTTCCCACGAAATGCTGCCAGAGATCGCGTTCAGGCTGCAGCGCTAATTTCCATAGAAGCAGGCAGGCACCTTCTTCATCGGCGTTGCTGACGGCCATAGCTGGGCCAGCCAGCTACCTTGAGGACCGCACTCGGCTTACAGACCATCCTACATCGCTGCTCGTTGTTGGGGTTTGGCACGGCTGACTTCGAGGCTCTCCATTCTACGAAGTGGCATCCATCCTACATCTTCATCGTGCTCATGTTCTTCTTCTTCATCCAGGGAGCTACTCTTTCCTGTTGAGCAGACACTTCATCTGCCGTGGGCATCGTGATTGGACTGCTGAGTGCGATGTTGGGTTCAGGAGGGTTGAGGGCGATTATGGGCTCGATAGGTTGGGCGCAGGCCTGCGCCATAGCTTGGAACTCGTGGTTGGGAGGAAGAAGAAGACTCCCTGTTATGATGGAACACTGTATATAATTGGTTTTGGGGTGTTGATAACGTGGTTGGGATGCTTGGAAAACAGTGCATTGATTGGCTGGAGGGGAGCGGTGTAATTAGAATTGCATCAAGTTCAATTCGAGTTTTGAATATTCAGTGCTTCCGCTGTGTATTCTCTCATCCGGTGTGGCGTCGATTGCTTTCTCTCCAAGATCTCTTGTCATTGCGCATGTGTATGGGAACGTGTGAATTCCATGCTGTATCTCGTTTCAATCAGGCACATAACAAAAAAACCGTGGCTGCACTACAAAAAAAAAAAAAAAAAAAAAAAAAGGTCTACAACTCAGTCGTACCGGCCACCGATTGGATTGCAGCAGCTATGAGAGTCGTACCGGCCAGTTTGGCTAAGCCCAACTGAACATCTGTAGGAAGGAGAGTTTGTGGTGGAACAAACTTCAGCATATGCAAACTGTGCATTAGTTATAGCAACGAGGCAGCAACTTCCACCGTGAAAGAGTCACAAATTAGTAAATTACCCCAGTGAATGGCCCATCCAGAGTGCACAGTAACAAAGTGTCCCACTCAGAGCACAGTCGGGACATCAGATTATCATGTACAAAGTACTACAAACTGTATGCCACTCGACATCAGGCGCTTGCACAGCATAGAGGAGCAGCACTCAGAAGATGCATCAAACAGGGACAACAGAGGAAGTGGTTGCAGACATCTCTACATGGGCCCTGGATAAAGGTTTTGCCTTTTGACAAACATTCAAAGAACACAACATCAGGATCATCAAACAAGATATCCTGCATGGTGCTAGCAAATCTGCATGTTTCTGAGCCAGAGTCATCAGAAGCGAAGTGGAAAACGGACAGTGGGGTGAAGGGAATCTGCACCAGGTTGCAAAATGCCCAAACCATGGACATCTGACATCTACCCAGACAAGTAGACTGGCAAAGCCGCTGGTAGATCGTTGATCAAGCACAAGAAAAGATACACCACAGTTGAAGATGATGGTATGCAAATGTCTTCTTGACTGGTTGAACAATAGCCAACAGCCATGCGGAGGCTTCCCCCAACCGGCGGAACGAATGAATATCAGGCTACCGTGTGACCGCTTGGACAGTAGTATATCCATTACTATCTGAATGCATGCCACCGGGGCTGACAGTTACACAGGGGGAGCTGGGATCAAACCCCAGCAGGAGGCTGGGTCGAACCCAGGTGCTTATGGGGGGAAAGGGTGGGAGTGAGAACATGGTCTAGGATGAATCTGTTAGCCATAGTGGATGATCTCCGACACCGAGTCCTGAAAGTCCACAGCCACTCTTTTTAAGCCCTTGATATTTCCAGGATTAAATGCAAGATTGCATGCTGGCACTAATTGTTCATCATTTGGACATTCACTGTCCCAAAACAGCTTCCACTCTACTGCCATAGATACATTAATATTGTCATGATGATATCGTCAAACAGAACTGCCCGATAAACCGTAGGCAGAGAGGGAGAACGAGGAGCTGTGACAAACTGTTTCGCCGTAGTTTCACCATCAACAGGCTGAACCGTCTACAGTCTGCAGAGTCCCCTAACTGATTACACTGTCAGTGATAATCCACCTTAGCCCCGGTTGTTGGTAAGCATCAATGACTGCCCAACAACTGATACCTCGAGGTGGGCACCAACCACTGCCCTCAAGGCACCTGTGAAGAAAATCAAAGCAGACTATCACTCACCCACGTCAGATGGAAAACTCTACGGACTGCAGGTTCACAATATGTATCATACTTGCAGCACACCTGTGTGGTGCGCCGTGCAGTGCGGTGCACGCGGCACAGTGCAGGGATCGCTGATGCCCCACGCACACGCGCAGTGCGCAAGTGTTGCATACTGTAACGTGCAGACCTGAACAAGAACCGACCTTTCAATACAAAGTACAAGATAACACAGCGGAAGACTTAGATACCAGTGATCCGAACAATCAATGTTGAAATGCAGCCCTGAACATACATCATCGTCATCGTTACATGGTGTGAAATGGGCCTGGCGCTTCACACAGGAAGACTGCGCCAGCCCATACCATACACAGACGAAGAGGAAGGGGATAGACGAAGAGGAGGGGGAAGATGGGAATGTCGTCAACACCAAGTCTTCGACACAAACCCAAATAGTCCCTCGTCGGAATGTCTGAATCCCAAATGTCAAGTCTGGATCCAATGTCGTCAAGTCTCAAGTCACAACTCTGTCTCTCTCTGTCGTAGTCTGAGAAGTCAGGTGGCGAGAGGGTGAGAAGAGAAGGTGGACTTAGAAGAGGAAGAAGAATAACTCTCTCTCTCTCTGTGTCCAGTACTAACCTKTGAAGTTGGCGCCTTGATGCAGGTACCACGAAGATGGAGCTGGAGCGATGGCGCCACAGGTAAGTAACACTGGCCTCCGCCAGTCTCTCTCCCACTCTACGATCTACCACCTACCAGCGCCCAGCGCTGAGGACTACAGCTACAGCTATGGCGCCCAGCGCCGAAGACTACAACTAGCGCTAATACCTACTGCCTAGCGCTGAAGACTACTGCAGCGCTCCTCCTGAGTGCTGCGGCCGAATCCTGAAGACTACCCTTGCCTACTGACACTACCTTCTGTCTGTAGGGCGGGCCAGTCTTATATAGTGCTGGCCCGTCCATGAGGCTGCTCTTGCCAATGCCCAAACGTGCTAGACCCTGAGGAAGCTTCCGGGAAGTTTCCAGGTAGCTTCTGGCTAAAGCCTGAGGGGTTATAGGCCCTTGTTTTCAGGCTGTCAGGCTGAAATGACACGGGGCCTGTAGGCCCTGGTTTTCAGGCTGTCAGGCTGAAACAGACACAGGGCCTGTAGGTCCTGGTTTTCAGGCCGTCAGGCTGAAACAGCCACGGGGCCTGTAGGCCCTGGTTTTCAGGTCGTCAGGCTAAAACAGCCACGGGGCCTGTAGGCCCTGGTTTTCAGGCTGTCAGGCTGACGTGGACACGGGGCCTGTAAGCCCTTGTTTCTAGGCTTTTAGGCTGAGAGTGCGGGACGGGCCCTGCAGGGCCCGTGTGGCTACGCAGTATGCCACAGCAAGGCTGCGCGGAACTGCACCCCATGCGCGCACACACGTGCAGGAAGCTGTTTTTGTGTGTTGTTAAAGCACCCCAAATTCTCTCTCTCATTTCCTCCACAAATCATACCAAACCATCCATACCGAAAACGTATAGATAGACAATATAATAGAAAATGCAAGGTTGGCCACGTTTGTGTGGTTCAGCGCCAAGTGCCCACAAACACGTCTGCCGCCGAACCTGCACACTTGCACATAGGCATAAATACATACATTTATTTGATCCCTGTGACAGAGAGAGGGAGAGGGAGAGAACAAGAAAGGCACTGTCATGGAAACGCCTCGCAGACACCCGGTGATACCACCATAAAACTATTGTGCCGCAAAAATTTCGGCAACACTTTCCCTCAAGATGGTGTCGCTGACTCTCCGAAGATAGCACAGTCCTTTCACACCTCTCACATGTACCGACGTTGTCGTGCCGCGAAACGGACATCTCCCCACACATACAAAAAAAAAGCATCGCCGACGTGTCCGCACTTCGACGGCATAACCCCAGTCAAATGGAAGTTCAGCCTGCCGCACCGCCGCAATCAGCTTAGGGCAGAGCCCCCGTTCCACAAGGGGTCCCTGAGGCAATCCCACTGGCGCAGCACCAACCCAACGCTGAGGCAGAAAGCCCCCAGAGTCGGCTATGGCTGCCTCATTCCTCGCTCCACTCTCCTTTTTTTTTTTTTTTGGGGGGGGGGGGRGGAGGGGACAATTTACTCCAATCTATTTGGGGGGAGCAGCACGTGCTGGAAACCGGGTCCAGGCCACCATCTGTCTCTCTCTGCAAATGTAGACAGCCACCCTTCCAGTCCGATACAGTCATGATGAGGGTGCCATGTTTACCCTGACAGAAAAAGAAAATTGCAGGCCAGAAGTACATTTGTCAGCAGTATTGTCAGAAATGTCAGGTCAGAGCACAACACATTCTCAAGCGTACTTGCAACCGCATCGTGCGGTGCGCTGCACAGTGTTCAGCACGGCACCTGCCCATGCGTCGTACCAGCAGCAGTTTCCCTTTTTTTTTCGCTGTTTTTGTAGATACAGAAGAGTGCGCCACCTAAGGAACAGATCCTTTTCAAGTACAGTCATACAGATTTTTCTTTTCGTCCAATTCAACATGAGAAATATAATCAAATAGGTGTCTGGGACATCAGTCGTCACCTTTAGGTAGTGGCATTACTCTCCCACTCCGTTTTTCCTCTTTTCAGCCCACATTGACCTGCAACAAATTTTCAAAGGGGATGCAGGTGACCATTGACTCAGGCTGGTAACCCTCTTTTTTTTCTGGGTGAGTAATCCCCTGTGTGCCGCATCATGCGGGTCCGTTCGTGTGCCGTATGTGCGCAATTTTCTGCATGGCGTGGGCTTGCATGTATGCTCTCAAGTCCATACTCACACAAGAACTTGCCTGGATGAATCTGACCGCGTTTACGGCCCCGACTGGATGTGCATGACCGTACTTACATCCGCATGTAAGTTCAAATAGTCCTAGTCTGCACATGCCCTCAGTATGGGTCTCGCTTCGCCACTCTCCACAAGCATACAAGATTAAACTCATGGCAGTAATCTTCCACTTTCAAGCGTAAGATGAATCCTCATTGTGCAGATTTATTGAGCACTGGCACGACTCAGGTAAAGCCCGTCATTTTTTGCAAAAGAAAGAAAAAACTCGCGCAAAAAAGTATAAAAAACTCATTTCCGACATCCGGTAAAATAGGAATGATAGAAAGGATTAGCAGAACTACCATTTGTAATATTTTGTATGCATTTACGTGATGAGCAGTAGTAACACACACACACACACACACACACAGATTTGTCGGGGCCACTGCTGACCACGGCCCCTTTTTTTTTTCTCCCATTGTCAAGAAGGATTTTTATGAGGGAAGGGGGGCCGAGCAAGGGGACTGTCCGAACTACCCATTTGTATGCATTTATGAGGGAAGGAGTGGGGTGTGCTACCACACCCCGCCCGTCCCCCCTTTTTCTTTACCCCTATTTTTCACCATGTGCATCATGTGCGCGTGCATGCATGCGAGCACAGTGTGCACAGCACATCAACCCACGGCATGCACGTGATGCACTGCAAGTGTGACATATAGGGCAAAGAAGGCGAAGTGGACATATATATAATTTCTGTTATTGTTTTATTATTCATTATTGCACCTTGTGACTGTGTTATGATTACGAATTTTAACAATTTAATAAACTTGCAGTAACTTTTTTTTTGTTTACCGTATTATTTTTATTACTGTTTGATTATGAAGAAGAACAAAAAGGAGGAGGAGAGCGTCCGGCATCAGGGTGATGGAATTGGGATCCAGCATAGGGGTACAAGGGGGATTGAAAGGATCGATAAACTCCAAACCTTTGTCATTATCAATAGCAACAACTGATGCAACTCCCTCAACTTCCCTTGTATACCGAATTGCTCGAAGACCAGATGCGGCAAGAGCCTCCAAAATTCGAACTCCTGGTATACCCACTTCCGTCACTTCCCCTGTCTTCTCTATTGTCTCATTCTCTGTTTTTCCGTCTCCGCTATCACCTGTGATCTTTGTGGACTTGTCATCTGCAGCCTTATCCCCTAAGTCCTCTTTACAAGGTTCTGCTGCTGAATCTCCAACTGTTTTATCCGCCCTCTGCTCACCTGGCACTTCTTCACTCGGCTGCTCCGGCAAAGGCCCTGCATTACCACGGACTTCATCTTTCCCATCCTTCTTTTCTGGAAGGAGTGCACTCCCGTGGCCTCCCTTGGGCTTTCGGTATGTCTTATCATTCAACTCCTGCTTTCTGAAATCGACGAATGAGCGCAATACTGCAATTGACAAATCTCGATTGACAATCTGCACATAACGCCATCATCATTGTGAGCACATCAGCCACAAGCATAGACACCTTTCAGCAACCATGAGCTGATCAGAAGAAACAAGCAGGGAGAAGGAAGACAGAGGATTGAGGGTATTATGAGAGACGAACAGAAGAAATCGAGCAGATAAACAAACAAAACTCACTCACACACACACACACACACACACACACACACACACACACACACACACACAGAGAGAGCAGCTATGGTCACCAAGGTCTCCCAACAAATTCGCTATGGCAGAGGCTCAAGCCTCTAAGCAAGAATCAATATCGCATCCTATCCCCCTGAAGCTGCCATTGTCTCTATCACTCTTTTCAGATCCGATATGGTGGGCAAATGCTGTCACTTGCTTTGGCCTCACTACTCCACTACTAGGTTGGCCTCTGCTCCGCTCCAGTGCAAAGCGAGTACAGCAGCCCAGCAACAAGAACCAAGGAATGATGTTCTAGTCCAGTCCTCTCCGAATGTACTCTGTCTCCAAAATCAGATTCTACAATCAAGGGAAGGGGCATAAAGCACAGTCCTTATCCAAATATAACCTGAGATAACCAGCCTACACATATTGATCTCAGACCAGCATACAGTGGCCTGCTGTGTCAGAAAGAAAGCCCCTGACTGACGTCTGCTTATAAATCAAAGGGCCAGGCCCGCCTGCAAGTCGGAGGCTTTGCCCTCTATTGCTGAAAGACTGGTCCGAAATACAGTTCTTCTTCTTCTTCTTCTTCTTCTCCTGATGATGATGATGATGATGATGATGATGATGATGACGATGATGATGATGATGATCTTCCGCGTTTCTCTCCCCCCTTTATTCTCTGGTAGGTTGGCAGTCCTGCTGCTGCACTTCTTTTGCGGCTAAGGAATCTGATTGGACATCCTGGGGCTGATGCCTGGTGCTATCCAAGGGTGTCCAAGAGGAGGGTGGTCTGCAGGATTGGGGTTCAACCTGTGAAGGTGAGGAGATGAGGTGAAGTGGTCTCCAGTTACAAGAAGAACGTATATGGCTTGCAATGTAAAAGTATCTGAAGACAATCCTACTGGGCATTGGATTTTCTGCATGCTACAGGAGTATAAGAGCATGCTCACACTGGGACTTTTTCGTCTAAATCTGACTTTAAAAGGCTCAGGTTCAGTCAGGAAAGTACAGATGTTAGTCTGCCCTAAGCATCTTTTTATTGGGATGCACTCACTTGGAAAGCAGAGAATGAGAGAGAGAGAGAGAGAGAGAGAGAGAGATTAGGGCAGATTTAGTTAGGGAGGCTAGTTTAAGGAGGATAATGGCTGGATCTACTCTCTTACGTCAGAACCATACTTGCGGCGCACCGCGGTGTGCGCCTCAGCACACGAGTTGCGCACGCAGCGCACCGCACCGGGTGCGGTGCACCAAATTAAATAGGGTCGGAAAAAAAAAAAAAAAAAGGGGGGGGTGGGGTTTCAGTTCGGTGCCCCCCCGGCCTCCCAAAATTGGAAAACAGGCCGCGCCGGCTTCGAAACCGGCCCCGCCCGCGGCCTGAAGTTTTTTTTGGGGGGGAAAGGTCTGCAGAGTCTGCAGATTTCGAATTCGAATTCTGCAGGCCTTCCCCCCAAAAAACAAACACTTCGGGCGGGGCCGGTTTCGAAGTCGGCGCTGCCCATTCTTGTGCAGGCTCGTGACAGCCAACCGACGACGACGACGGAGGGAGGAGCCGACGAGGACGACGACGGGGGAAGGGGGCCTGCGGACTTCGAAACGACGACGGACGACGACGAAGGAGGGAGGAGGGCTGACGACGGAGGGAGGAGGGGTGACGAGGAGGGCCGCCGACACGGACAACGACGGTGGACTGTTGACGAGGATGACGACGGCGAAGGAGGGAGGACTGTCGACGAGGACGACGTCAAAGGAGGGAGGACGGGGCGAAGGAGGGAGGAGGAGGCGACAGCGTCAGTGCCAGCACTCGGTGGCGGGAGGGAGCGGCGGGAGGCAGCGATCAGAGTGCGGTGGGCGACGATGGCGGTAGGCACC